AAAAAACAAAGTTTAAGTATAATCTATGAGTTAGAACACTTCTGAAAAGTTTTTTTTCTTATTTCATGATAAAATAAAGCTCATTTTTTTGCAAACGCTCGTCAACTTTTGGATCGTTTTGTTTTAAGTTTCCAGGAGGTTTAAAATATATTGCTAACTGTAATATCAACAATTTTCATTATGGCCAATTACAATTTGCATCATTATTTGATAAGAATAATGAATAATGTTTGCAACTTATAAATAATGGTAAGAATCCCTTTCTTAAGAGCAGAAAATTCATCTAAGTTTTTATACCACATCTAGCACCTTGATTAAAATAACTTAAAAACATAATAAAGTTGTATTGAGACTGAGTTCATTGAGAACATAGGATTTCTTGCCCGAAATGACATTAGGTGGGCTGCTTTTAAAGCATAATGATGCTAGACGTTCGCATTATGTTTAATCATTGTTTAAAAAATATATAAACAATTGAATGATATATTTATTTTACTCAAACAGCAGATCTTAACAAGGTTTGCAGTCATTCAAATATCCAGTAAGCCTAATTATAGGACAAATAAAAAACTTTAATAATTTTACCAAACTACTCTGACTGCAATTTTCATTTTTTTTTCTAACACTAATTTTTGGTACAAACTAACACTAAGAGTTAAAAATGAGAATCGTGTCAAGAATTTATTAACAAAAGGTGATGATGATCTTCATTAGCCTCGAGACATTTTTAACTCACGAAATTATTGTTAGGACTTTACTAGTTCGTTTCTAAGTATGCTGTGAAAGATTCCTTAATCTGCACCCGTTCGCACTGTCACTATATTACCATGGAAAAATTCAAACCGTACATATCAACTGTCCCTTCAAGTTATGACGTGATAAAAGAAAATCACTCTTGACACTGATAGTAGTCGCTCTGATATGCTAGCTTCATAGCACTTTATAACTGATTTTAAGTTCCATTTTCGAACTCATTATTTATGGAAGGAAATCTTTCTCGTTACTTTATGGAAGTTTCATAGCTCACACAATCACACTTAATCTTTACGGAGGCTTTCATAACAATTTATCACACGAGCTAGCTTTAATCCTCATACATACGCTATCCGCAGTCTAGTGTGAATTGGACTGACACAAAGTGAAATAAGTCAAATTTAAAAAGTTATGTGTGATTTCAGAAATGCTTCCTTTCTGCAACGCAATTATTGCTCAGACAGTTTTTCTATCAAGAAAGAAAAGACATCTTCCCGCACGAGCCTCAAAATAATTAATCAACAATGATTCCTTTCAAAAGTCTTGGCTTCTCAAACAACATTCTACTTCGATCATAGTGCACAAGATACATCTCTATTTCAGAGATGCCAGGATAGAAAATAAAAAAGTGTTAATTCGTCAATATCATAAAAATAATATTGTCTAACAATATGGAGTCTTTCGTTTTTGAAATATTTGTTTAAATTGTAAACTTTTTTCCTTGAATTGTAATTTTTTTATTATTGATAGAAGGTGAACGAATGCATACAATTACCCATATGTACATTTTCAATTTCATCCTATTAAAACTTAAACACATTTCTAATGTAAAAATACTTTCATCAGTTCGAGTTTTAAAAGTGCAAGCTTCAAATATAATAAATACTAGAAAAGTAATGACGTATAGTTACATGCGATCTGATATATATAGTACTAAGAAAATAAGCACGTTCAGCTCCAAGAGAGTTACTGTGCATGCGTGCTTAAACTTTTTAATTTTTAAATATGAAAAAAACTGTAACAAGAAAGTCTGTTCGCCTTTGTTTCACGAACAAAAAACGTACTATGTGTAGAGCCCCTTGGTTAGCAAAGGGTGATTAAAAGTAGCAATACGTGTGATATACCATTGCAATAAGACTGACAACAGTTTGAATCATATTATTGTTTGATGACCCAATATGGATATTCAGTGAGTTGAAATGCTATTATACAGTTATTGTACTAACAACTAGTATTGGGCAAGTAAGCAATGATATGATTCAAATTATTAGCAGTCTTATTATGACATAATATCACACACATATTAGTATTAAAACTCAATAGATATTCTTCTCTAAATGATAATTATTTTTATATAACACAGAAAATAACATAAATTTGGTACAATTACAATATTTTTAACAAGAAATATAAGATTTGGTATTTGAAAGTTAGAAAATGTTTTTCCTTCAGAGTTTGAAATATGCAAGCATTAATTATTTTGATTAATCATTTCTTATTCAACTATTATAGGGGAGTACTATCCACTGTATGAAGATGCCTCAAACATACAAAAAGAAGCGAATACGAGAATAAACAGCCACGGACAAAGTTCCGGTTCGTATATACTGTAACTCAATGAATCATTAGATGTATATTTTTTAATTTCTACCTGGTTTTGAGTTTTTCGCTTTCCGTAGAAGACATAGAGAGGGTGGAGAGAGATATTTGTATATATGTATATATATACATAGAAAAAAGTTTTCCTCATATGTTTTGGGTCATATCTTTATTCTGGTTTTCTTGTTTAATAAAAACGCTATGGGATACCGGTATCACTGTAATCCCACTCCTCAGTCTATCTCTGCCCCTGAGCATACTGAAAAGTGAAACTGCCCACGAAGCCAGTCCAAGTGAAACAAGAAAATCAGATTAGAAATATAACCCGAAGCATCTGAGCAAAACTGTTTATTATACATTTAAACAATTTGAAGTGAACTATTCTTACATATCGAAATAGAGATAGAAATGAAAAGAAGCAAAAAGAGAACATAAAATAAGAACGAAATACGTAAAGATAGAGGGAAACACGGAATAATAAAAACAAATGTAAAGATATGAGCACGTAAAAAATAAAGATATACAGAGCAGGTTAGAAATAAACAAACAGGTAAAAAGAAAATGATGAAAGACAAAGTAAAAGAGATAAAATAACAGAGTGAAAGTATAAAAACAGAAAAATAGACAGACAGACTGGTAGAGACAGAGAAAATAGAGAAGCAGACAGTAGAAAAAATATATAATTCTCGCACATTTTAATTACATTTAAGCACTTGTAGTCTATTTTTTCTATTAGATTAGTTAAAAAGATTAAAAATATAAACAAAATATAAAGTTATAAATGTCATAGAATTATATAAGTTTCTGCGATAGTAAAAAATTTAGACGTATCCAAATAAAGGCTATGATCAAACTAATAATTATTTAAACCATTTTCAAAATATATCTTAGTTTAAAAATTTCTTGATTGATTCGCTTGACTATACGAAGAGTAAATGCTTATGTGTAACATTAGTAAGCTTTGAATACGTTACACTTAAATATATATAGAGGCCCCCCAGTGGCACAGCAGTGTGTCTGCGAACTTACAACGCTAGAATCCGGGTTTCGATACCCGTGGTGGGCAGAGCACAGATAGCCCCTTGTGTAGCTTTGGGCTTAATTACAAACAAACAAACCATTTCTTCCTGGCCCATCACTATATACTAAGCACTACTGTACTTAGCGATTTTGAAGTGTACTGCTCCTTACAAACCAACAGACGTTGTCTTATATTATATCTGACGTTATTCAAGAAAATATTCAATAGCCTTTCTAAAGAAGAGTATACACAAACCTAGATTAGGTGTTTCAAAAACCTAATTTTACTTTAGGGTTTTGTTTTTAGAATAAAGGATGTAATCCCAATGAAGATAAATAGTAATTTGTTGAGTACAAGTTTTTGTGTTCTTAGCACGAAAAGTATAACTTACCACATATATATATATAGTGGAAGTTGACAACTTTATTACAAAGAGTAAAACTGGGGGTGAGATATCGTTAAAGATTCAAGAGAGTCTAGGATTGTCAGTTGGTAGCAAACCTCCCAACCAACAAAACTCTCTTTAAACTCTTATCCTCAAAATATTGGTCCACGTATGACCTGATGCTTAGGGCGCTCGACCAACAATCTGCTGGTCGCGGGTTCGAATCCCGTTACCAAACATGCTCTCCCTTTCGGCTGTGGGGGAGTTATAATGCTACGATCAATCCCACTTTTCGTTGGTAAAAGAGTTGGACAAAGAGTTAACGATTGGTGGTGTTGATTAACTGCCTTTTCTTTAATATATCATTCCTAAATTTGTAACGACTAACACAGACATCTCTCAACCAAAAAAAAAACATATTAGTTTGTTCTAACTATTTGATTTAAATATTGGCATATTTCGAAATTCTTACTAACCCCTTTAGTACTATATTAGTGCCTTAACGTATTTCTAACGCAAAACAAAAACTATAAATTATACATCCCGCAACAAATGAATGATAGTTTATATGACTAGTATCTTAACATTGTTCGCTAAAGCATTCCACAAACACAAAGCAAAATTTTCCAAACAGGAAAAACCTCCCGCTTTGCATTTCTACTATAATTAGACCAAAACAATTATGCAAATAAGCTTTTTATTCAAGGTCTTCCACTTCGCAAGGTGAAAATTAATTTGGCTTAGATAAATGGAAATAAATGAAGAAGGCTATACTAGGGTATTTCAAATCCACAATGCTTAACCCTTAGCCACGACATGCTTCATAGCTCACAGTTGGCACAGCAGAATCCCATGAAATTTGTAAACAAAAATCAATAATAAATACATATATCTCTAAGAATGTGCCGTCGTTGAAATTATCGTTAAGACTAGGCTTTAGCTCACGTGTGACCATTGTTTCCATGTTGCGTAGTTTACACTAATTTTTTGCAACAATATTATCAAACCGTTGCAGTTTTTTTTTTACATAAACACAAGTAACGATCTCCCGCAGCTGCAATATTTTGTACATGCACGTTTAATTCTATCCTGCAGCCAACTGGCATTTCTACCTGTTTAAGTCTGGAAAGATTTGAGTGTAACAACAGTTAAAAAGCAAGCTCATGTTAACCTTTAACGATCTAATTTTCATGCTTGAAAAAGTAATATAATTAAGGAAACAACTAACAGTTGGTTGCTACATGTTAGAGAGAATGGCAACAGCTTCCACTATTCTCAATGAATTTTCTTCTTCTTCCGCATTTCCGAGGATCTTGAATCTAAAGTACAAATACAGTTCTAGATCTTATACATAAGAATAACAAATTAGGAATAGCACGTGTTTTTTTTTTTCTTCTCTCTCTGTATGATGTTGAGAAAAAAAAACGTTATATTTGTTGGATATTATAAAGAAAGTTGACGATTAACATCAAATGAGATTCTGAATGCACACTTTAACAACTGTTTCCACGATTTAGCCAACCCCATCCATATAAAACTGTCAGAGGATATCCAACATGGTAAATTTGCTAATAAACAAGGTCCCAGTGGCACAGCGGGATGTCAGCGGACTTACAACGCTAGAAACCGGGTTTCGATACCCGTGGTGGGCAGAGCACAGATATCCCTTGTGTAGCTTTGTGCATAATTTAAAAAAAAACTTAATAAACAATAGCTCCACATAAGTTAGTTATTTCAGAATCCCGCTTTATCAAAAGATTAACACCTTCTTTTTTGTTGTTGTTGTTTACTTTTTAATAGTAAAAACTGGCAAAATTAATAGACACATTACATTAAGTCGGTTTCATGCAGATCCTAAATCCGAAACCTTATTCCACATAATTTAAAATGCTGTATTACTTGATTTTCCCGTTATAAAACATTGCAAACTTATATATATCGTCAACGTATCTATCATACTAAAGGCAATGGTTTTTGTTAGCCATTGAACATTTTCAAGCCAGAAGTTTATGTGATAATTCCTGAAGAGATTTATAACCATGTCTTGACGATACCAACCTGATTAAAAACCCGGTCATCGTCAACAAAATGTGATCTTAGGTAGCAAAATTAATATCCTCTCTTTGGATCAATAATCGGGATTTAGGTTTTTTGCGACCTGGGAGGGTCAGGTTCTAGTCGACCTAAAAAAAGATTTAGTTTGAATTTCGCGCAAAGCTACACGAGGGCTATCTGCGCTAGCCGTCCCTAATTTAGCAGTGAAATAATAAAGAAAAGGCATCTAAGTCATCACCACTTACTGTCACATTATAATGCCCCCAAGGCTAAAAGAACGAGCATGTTTGATAGGACGGGGATTTGAATCCGCAACCTTCAGATTGCGAGTCAAGCGCCCTAACCACCTGGCCATGCCGAATTTGCACTTGCAAACATTTACTAGTTAACAATTTTCTTCCTTCATCAAATATATTTAATAAATCCAATCCATTACTGAGTAAGCTAACCTTTTGAGTGTTAGAATTAGAAGTATAATTTGTATTACAAATCATACAATATGAAGTAAACCTAAACTTATGATTCCCTAAAAAAACCTTCCTCATCCGATCTAATCCCCATCGTATACATGTAGAAGGGTTTGTTTTAAGCGCGCAAAATTTCACTTAATTTTTTCCACGTCTCTAACCTTTAAACGTAATAAATTCTTATGTTGAAATCTGTGTTAATATATATGTTTTTGGATCAATTGCTTGAATAATAATACATTGTTTTTTATTGCAACCAAATTACTAAAGTAACATAACAGAGTAATACCAGATCGCTAAGGTGTCTGAATCTGAAATATTATCAGATACAACTCACTTATATATTTCTGAAAGAAAATATAAAGGATTTTTGAAAAAATTATTAATAACCGCACTGGCAAAATAAATGGTTCTCATAATTTTAGTTCATCAGATATATACGTAGAGGGCCGGCATGGCCAGGTGGTTAGGGTGCTCGACTCACAATCTGGGGGTAGGGGGTTCGAATCCCCATCACACCAAACATGCTCGCCCTTTTAGCCGTGGGGACGTTATAATGTGACGGTCAATCCCACTATTCGTTGGTAAAAGAGTAGCCCAAGAGTTGGCGATGGGTGGTGATGACTAGCTGCCTTCCCTCTAGTCTTACACTGCTAAGTTAGGAACAGCTAGCGCAGATAGCCCTCGTGTAGCTTTGCGTGAAATCCATAACAAATATACGTAGATTTTTTTTTTTTTTTGGTTACTAATGTCCTGAGCATTACATAAAGCAATATAAGGTACATGATCCAGTTTATGTCATCGAGCCAGTTCCGATCCAAGAGATGTTGATAATAGTTTCAAATAAATCGAAGATCAAGCATTAATAAACAAGACATTGTTGTTTGGATAATTTTGAAAATATCTAATCAGAGCTGCCAGTAATGAGCACAATATTTATACCTCCAACTTACACTTAATACTAGATCTGTTGAATTTAGTTGGTTTTACAACAAAATCGAATTTATTAGTGGGCAATAGACGTGATATGATGTTAGCTTAGGCCGTACACGCCATTAGAAAATAATGTGTATTTCCACTTTTTCATTTCCAATCACATTCTAGTCTTGTATTTTACAATTTAATCAAGGAATTTGATTTTCTCTTTAAAAAATTTAGATAAACTAATGTATATCATTCGCGATAATGCTTTCTAAGATTATAGGCATTTAAATCATAGTAAACTGTAGCGGGTGTAATACTTACTGAATTCGTATATATCTTATAAACTTCTTTATTATAAACAGATACAAATCAGTGGTTTCAGAGTTTAAAACATTGAGTTGTTTTTCAACCTCATCTCACGTTTTAGTATAATTTGCGTTTCATATGAGTGATTGGTTTGGTGTTGTAATACTTGAGAAATATGGATATTGTTGAGGATACAAGTGCCATTGATCTTTTATATTATGCAGTACAGACACGTGTAGTATTGGTTTGGTGTTATAATACTTAAGAAATATGAATATTGTTGGGGGATACAAATGCCATTGATCTTTTATATTATGCAGTACAGACACGTGTAGTTTTCTTTGACTTCTGGCATGACCACTATTGGTAACAGAAGTCATATCACACTAATTCTTGGGATGTATTGGATTAAAAGCATCTTTAGTTTACATTTTAATTTTATTTATTTATTTGAGTTTGTACGGTTTATATCTTGTGAATTTTGATACACGATGTATCCCTGTTGCTGTACGGTCCTATTTTCACACGCACTATTGTAACTGATGCACAGTGTATCTCTGCCCTCGTACGAATTCTATTTCCACTTAGAGTGTTATAATTGTTGATCTTTTTGTCTTCATGTTTTAATTTATTTTTTAGATTTGAGTGTTATTTGAAAAGCAATAATGATGTGTTAAACACATGCGTGTGATCTTAACGGTTTACTTAACATCAGCAACTGATGAGTACAATATACAAAGGTTATAATCAACAACTGATGAGTACAATATATAAAGGTTATAATCAACAACTGGTGAGTACAATATATAAAGGTTATAATCAACAACTGATGAGTACAATATATAAAGGTTATAATCAACTGATGAGTACAATATATAAAGGTTATAATCAACAACTGATGAGTACAATATATAAAGGTTATAATCAACAACTGATGAGTACAATATATAAAGGTTATAATCAACAACTGATGAGTACAATATATAAAGGTTATAATCAACAACTGATGAGTACAATATATAAAGGTTATAATACCTGAAAACTTTATCTTTATTTTCATGTATAAACAAAAAGTTGTATATCAACTAGTTTACTTATTTCTTACTAATCACTTTCAGTTTCGAATGGTTGGCGTGGATCTCAACTTGGAAGTCCGATGTACTTCTTCATCTTATCTTTTCTCCTGACCACGACGTCTGAAGTAATCACGTGATCCGGTGTACTGGAAATAACTCCTTACTTTTTCTGTAATTCTTCATGATGTATCATAGGTTCCGAACAAATCCCTGCTTTAATGGTAATTACATATAGCAAGCAAACTAAACTTACTTTTGTAAAACACGAGCGAGCCTACATAAACATTTGTTGAATGATCAAATCTTTCGTGAATATCAGATTACTTAATAGAAACAAAGTCGTGTTCTAAAGTTCTAAGCATTTACGCGCGTTTGAAAGCTTCAAAACAAAACCTAAAGTCTCATAATTAAATTTAAAAAATATTAAATTGCATTTGTGCATGTGTATGAATAGGATAAACAAAGAAAAATCATATCATTATGACACGGACGACTTCTCTAATTTGCGTTTAGATTCATTGTAATATTCCTAAACTAAGTTAACATGTAGCTCCCTATGTTCAGCTATATAATTATTATTAATTCTGTAAATAATAATAATAATATTAAGATAATTCAGTAATGTAAAATGTAAATTCCATCAGCACAGGTAAATAACAGAAAATTAAACGCAATGCTTCATACGTCCTACACCCTTTTTTTATATAATATCGAATTCACTCCATCGTAACAAGGCAGTGTAACCATCGCTTATTTGTATAGTGTGGCTGTGTGTGTATATATATACATATATATAGATAGATAGATATAGATATTTTTGTCTGTAACTGTGATGTTTCATTGACTTATCCCTTTTAGCGCACTGAATAAAATGTTTGCTTGTACTCTGTTTCCTACTGTTACTATTAATTCCTGAAATTAAAACTATTAAAATTCTTTTATCACTAATAGCTATAGCTTTACAATCAAAGGTGACACTGTTTGATTAACATTTAACTCAGGACGCAACTTGTGTATCCACAAATTTTATTTAGTGCGAAGCATTTATTTACTATCTGCACTCCCCAAGATATTAAAGTGTTTTGAAGTGACATTTGTGTCACCGTCCTGCAAACAGATGGTTGACTCATTATATACTGTGTTTTGCGAATGATCTTTAATGTCATATATAAATTTACACGTCCAAGGTGTAACCTTGTCTGCGTGGGCTCTACAGTACGTTGTCTATTTCCCTCCAGAATGCATGCATTACTAATTCTGAAAAAAAATCACATACACACTAGTGAAAATAACTTTTTAATTTACAGGTTACGAAAATATATATTCTAAATATATTTGTCATTATACGATTTCCAAATTGAACTTCAAACTCATGAAAATGAAAGAACTTTTGGTACTAAAACTAGACAGTATATTTGAATAGTTTTTATTGTAACATGGCGTTTCCCAGGAGATTTATATAGAGTGTAAGTAAATTATCCGACAGCATAAGTGATAAAACATATAATACACGTCATCACTTTGTGTTCGGGCTACTGGAACACAATCATATATTATTATTTGACCTATCAAAAAGAACTATTTGTGCAGTATGTATCACTTTAGAAAGCGGCTGAAATAGCACTTTCACACGTCCATAAGTATATATACATGATTGTGTATTTTACATAAGCATAAGTTTAACCAAAGCATACACGTGTGTGTATGTGTGTACCTTATATCGGGAAGCGGTCTTATAATATATCGCAACATGGTAGCCATTTTTTGTTTTTTGTTTTACTTTATAGTATTCTTACATCAGGAAGACATCTTAAAATATCACAATATCAGACGCATTTGACTTTAGATACATATTTCCGAAAATAACCTTAAAAACACAATGATAAATGCTTGTATAATACAGGGAGAAGAAATGTAGAATATATTAAAAAAGAATATTACACAATCTTGGAATTATAACTATAGTGAATTACATTAAAATAGCTTAAACGGCACTTCTGCGCAGAAAAAATATTACAGATATTAAAAACGAACATGCAACGTTAAATAATTGCACAATAAATCAGCTTTATTACAAAACAGGGCACAGCCTACATGTTTCGCGTAACGTCCTACGTCACCATCATCAGAAGTAAGAGTTAAGTCAAAAACTTATTTATGTATCTACAACACCTCCAATTTACATAATATTTTCATTACACCCTCAGCGCCATCTCCACTTCGAACACAAACAACCCTTCATGAAGAGCTTACAAAATAGATTTACAGTAAGTGTATTTTATTTCTTCCTGAACCACCATCTTTATTCAATTTTTTCCTTCTCAATTTCTAATCATTCTCTAATATTCAGTTCCCACTTAAACTCAACCAGTCTATAATTGGGTAATGTGTTCCCAACTGTTGCCAAGCGTCTTTTACAGAAACTAACATAATCTTGATTATGTATAAATATTTAATTATACAATATAAAACATGCAATGTATATATATATATATACGGGGGTGTCAAAAATCACTGTTTGTTAAGTTTACCCTTCTATATTCATTTCAGTGACATACACCCATAATTGTATGGAAATGTGTATGTGTATATATTTCGCTTTCTGTTTGACATTAAAATTTTCGAGGCTTTTTCTCATTAACAATATACAGATTCTGTTGTGTGCTTTATGTGCAAACAAGATGAGGTACCCATACTTTGTCCAGGTTATGAACTGAAAAAATGTGGGGGTGGATGCTATGATAAATAACACAAAAATCTTAACTTTCACACAATTTATTTATAACATATTGTTTCAGTATGCATTATTACCACACCAAACGTTTTGTATAAGTTTTAATAACTCATTATGTATATACTTAAAACATGGTATACACTGTGCGATTGTCAGGGTGACTTTGCAGAAAAAGGTAGCGACAAAAGTAGTGGCGGTAAGAGTGCTTTCTGTTACTCACTTTCAACACCTACCTCTTAATATCCTTCCACAGTTTTTCACGCGATTAATTAATTGATGATCATTGGCCGCAAAAGTGTCTTACGGGCCGAAGTTGAAAGATCACTAGTGGAAATAGGAAGTGGGTATAATTCAACAAACGGCTCTTCATATCAGTGTTATGGTGGCTGTTGGAGTAGAAGCTTCAGCTGAGTTTATGTATTATTGCAATAGTGGCGGCCATTTTTTTCATTGCCTTCCTCTAGTGCACTCTCCAAGATATATAAAACATTTGTGTGCCTTCCTCCATACTGTGTGTATGTTGTCTTACAGAAAATTTAAGTTGTTTTATTATAAGGACGTACCGCCATCTATGAATGTAGTTAACGTTAACTAACGTCAAAGATAATAAATGCTCAATAACATCAATAATGGGATGAAGGAGTTGTGAACCCACCATTAACATGCCCCTTGTTTCAAACTATCGTGTCACAAAGGTTGGTTGAGATTGGCCTGGTGACATAGGAGTAGTTAGATAACGGACAGACAAACAGACGGGCACACAGATTTTTGTGCTTTATGTACATAAATATTGGTTAGGATGTTTTTAGATTCTTCAGTATTTCCCTGAAGAAGTACATTAAGAGGTTGTTGTGGCTCTCTCTCAAAGGTTGCAATTCAACTTTGCCATTATCACAACACAGTCCTGGCTTTCGTTGGGATACCTTTTTGCCCAATTCAGCAGCAGCAATCCTTCTTTAAACTTGATATTCTTTATATTGTTCTCCTCTAGCAACAATATCTACAACTGATTCTTTCGCTCTTATTCTTGTCATTCAGCCACGATTTCTTTCTTGTGTGGCATCAGTTTCATCAGCTGTCTCTTTTGTTCTTTTTCTAGCTATCCTTTCCCTATCTCGATCGTGTCTTTCGGCATTTTCATCAGGTGTTTATTGTGCTCTTCTTCTACCTATCATTTCTCTATCTCGATCGTGTCTTGCAGCATTTTCATCAGGTGTTTATTGTGCTCTTCATCTAGCTCTTCTTTCCCTATCTCAAGATTGTCTTGCAGCAGTTTCTTTTGCTGTTTCTTGCGATATTCTTTCTTCCATCCTTGGTTATTTTTGGTTTCCATGAATACAATGACTTCAAAACTCGTTTGGGCATTTTCACACAATTAGTTAGGGATATAATTTGTGTGTGTGTGCGCACTTCACAAAGTTGACTGTTTTGGAAACTATAAAGTAACACTACTTATGTATACAAATATATATTTTACCATTTACTTACAATTACCTAGAGGCGGGAAGCAACGTGCGATCTCTTTGAGGTATTAGTAAAACACCGTGGAACTAAGGGTACATGTGTTCGCTTTGTCTTCACGTGATTAATTAATTGACGGTCATTGGTTGCGTTATAGAAAATGTAATAAAGTTTATTTTCTGTTGTTATTTTGTTTTTGTTGGTGTAAGGTCGTGGCGCCATTTATTACTTTAGTTAACGTTAGCTTACGTTAAAGATAATAAATGCTGAATAACACCAATAATCGGGGGAAGAGATGTTGTGAACCCCCATTAACATTATCCTTGTCCCACATAGTTTGGATGAGCTTGGCTCAGCAACCTAGGAGTAGTTAGATAACGGACAAACAGACAAATACAGTTTTTTGTGTGTGCTTTATATATATATTTAATTCGCAGATCACTGAAGACAAAAGTGATTGGTAACAGTTTTTAATTACAATTTTTCTTAAAGCACAAAACATTCACCAAATTAGGTCTAATGGTTAGCGTGCCGGGCTGCCTATCGGAAGGTCCAAGGTTGTAGCTGCAATATTCCACCTAATACGCTCTGTAAGGACGTTATAACAATAACAGTCAATCCCACTATTCAGCTAACAGTAGCCATATAGAAGGCGGGCGTTGCTGAGTAGTTGCCCTCTGTCTGGTCAGCAATTCAAATTTAGGGAGGCTATGCCTGAATCTTGGGGTTCTCTAGCTTGGCCGTTTAACCCTCGTTTCCCATAGGAAACCGCTCAGACTGAAAATTCCAAAAACGTACATACGCAAAAGATGAAGCTGACTAATGACAAAATTTTCTAACTTGACTTACGTCTGTCCTCAAAATAGATGTAGATGTAGATAGATTGATGGATGTTGCCAAGAAATCATTACTATTTTGTAGATTACCAAAAGCTACATCACCAAATTCTTTGTGACAAAAAACAAATATTAGTCATTAAGTTGCCATGTCTTAGCAACAATATTCAGATAAGAAGATGGTAGCAGCCCTAAGTAATAAACGAGGTAGAATACATTTATTGTAGATAATGGATGTAGGCAGATCAACCATTTTTGCAAATGGTGTTTAAAAGCATTAGCGTTTTTTTTTCATAACATACCCTTACTTTGATGTTTTGTTTACAAAACAAAGTAGTCGCCTCAAATCACCTCTTTCGGAAGTAATTTAAAACTCTTTTAAGTTAAGAAACTAATCGGATTAAAATGACATTAGTTTTATGGAGAAATATTCTTAATGATTATCAAAAACTTTGAGTATAGAGTTAAACTTTGGCCATCATCATGTCTGATGGTAGACGGCGTTATTAAATTTGAAATAAATATTCCGTTAACATAAATGAAAATACTAAAACCCCTTGAAGTTTGAATTCCATTTTCTCAATGTCGCAAGTAAGATTTGTTTGTAATTAAGCACAAAGCTACACAATGGGCTATCTGTGCTCTGCCCACCACGGGTATCGAAACCCGGATTCTAGCGTTGTAAGTCTGCAGACATACCGCTGTGCTACTGGGGGGCCGCAAGTAAGAAGTAAAAAACAAAGAGCGTTTTTTCGAGCTTTTAAATACATTGTACGTAACCTTAAGTGTAATTAGAAAGTATTGGGCATCACTTT